GTTCATTTCCTTTTCATGTGCCGTAAACAAGGCGTCGAACACACTCGTTGCTCACACGGTGTTCCCACCAGATGTGAGCTAAATTGCGAAGGCAGCGGTGGTCGAACGTAACTAGCCTCTTCAGGTCCGTTGCTTTAAGGGGCCAGGTTTCACAACCGTACATGTAATAAATTATCTCCAATAAAATTGTGTTGTTTCCCTGTAAAATACAGACCTACCCACTTTACCCCGTCTAAGTTACTCAGTAGCCATCTGTAAAATACGTTAAAGTTCATTTTGATTTTATCTGTAGACTCAAAGAAAAACCTTTATTAATCATTAATATTTGGAGCATACCAGCCTGTTTTATGTTTGCTTATTTTCCATTGAGGTTTTACCAGCTAGTGTAGACACGTGGCAGCCATAAATAAAATAGCGGAGCTTTCTGTATTAGAGTAGCAAAGCAAAATACTGTCAAATTATGCGAGTCAGCTGCAGAAATCATTCAACTTCAATACATTATTTAATGCCGGTTTTTCTCTCTCCATATGCCCATTTTACCCCGGGTGGCACTACTGGATAAGTATGTAATTTAGATAGATGACTGCCGCGGCCATGCATTTAGAATGCTGGTTATGGGTGAAGGGGGGGGGTTGCCGTCCAATGACGCATCTGCGATATCAACCCAAAAGCTACATTTGTGCCGTGCACAAACCACTCCCTGAATCTGACTCGTGTACATGCACCTTCTGCGACAATTCACTCCGTTACATTTTCTGATACAAAATGGACCGGTTATCTTCGTTCTTTTCTGCATAAACATGTCGCTAGAACGTCTTGATTCGAGTGAGACTGTTCTAAATATCAAGCGGGCTGCGAAAACTGTATGGATTAGTCGAACAGTTTCTTATAATCTTATGAGCAAATATTCGGAAATCGTCAGTGCTCTGCTCACAAAAGAAGTAGAAAATACGATCACAATATCAGGTGAATCTTTGATTCTCATCGCGGTACTGTCGTTTTTCTAAATTCTCTTCTGAGTCTTTGGAGATCTTTTCTCCTAGAAACCAATGGTGCACAGAAATATCTTCAAACAAAAGGCTTAAATCCGCATCAAACTTCTGTCAAGTTCATCGCGTTAAAAGTTTGCCTTCTTCAGAACAGAGCGATAATGACAATCGTGCAATGAATGCATGCTCGAATTTGTCAGAAAACAAACGAATGGATAGGGAAAAATCGTTTGACACATCGATCTGGTTTGATGCCGAATTGAAACGGAAAATGCTGTCTCTGTCATTGGTAGGTTGATTGAAGAAATATGTCGCAGACTTCAGCAAATCTCCTACCATGCAAACAAATATGTTTCCCTGACACCGTTACATCGGTTTGCTGATAACTATGATTGTCTGCTTAGTGAAGTTGTAAAACATATTCTTCACCGAAAGAAGCTTGTAGTGTTTTCTGAAATGACAAAATCAGTCTATCCCATTAACTTTTGAGCTTCATACCGAACTATCACCACAAGGAATGCGTACCGAATATTGCTTCGCATCTTTCTCCTTTCACGAGCTATTAACACTGCCATCTGTGAATGCTCTTTCACAGACTGCTTTCGCTCAGTGGTGAAATTAGACAAAAATCACGCACTTACAATTCTCTCCATAGTGAGTGAACATGCCGACTGCTGACTGAATTTTGTCAGTGTGATCGATACGTTTGTCACAAGTAACGCGCGAAAGTGTGTTTGTAAATTTTGTGCACCAGTATTGTATCAATACAAATGCCTGCACTTACAACAGCACTCAAAATTTAGATCGTTGATGGGGTTTTCTATGACATACATCAGAGCGCTGAGTTAAGAATTGTTTTCGGTAAATCTCATCAGACTCAGACATTTGCATAGTGCGGATTACCTAGTAAATGTGCCGCGTTGGGTTAAGTATCGATTAGTATGGTAAAGTTAACGGCCAAATCGATAAATCACAGTGTCACTAAAGATGGTAGATTAAGTGTACTATTCGGCCCAACTCGGCACATTTACCATGTAACCCGCATTGGTAGGATTTGCTGAAAAGGATTCTTAACTCCGCACTCTGCTTCGTGTTATCAAATTTTTTTCCATGAAACGACATAATGAAGGGCTATTCGCAATTGTAAGGATTTACTGATTTACAACTGCCCGGGGGAGGGGGCGAAAATCTTACGACTGCGCCGGGCGACGAAAGCAGTTATACTACGCCACTGCATGAGACGAACTAATCTCATTCCGTACTTTCCTGATCGTTCGGTGTCTCCTCGTCCGATTCTGGCTATTGTGGACTCCGTACATGCCATCTAACTCCTCTCGCTACTTTCTGTAAGCAAAGCGAACGGCATATTGCCGAAACATCATTGAGAAGCCCCTCAGTGTTTGACACATTGCATATTGCCATCCCTCACTGCTGTCTGTGTTGTCATCGCACTGTGTGTTCAAATCAAAGTGTGCTGTTAGTGTTTCACTCGGACTACGGCATCAGTGTAATTGATATATGTGTCCGCTCGGAAATTACACTTTTCGATGGAGCTGTTTCATGCCAGTAGTCGTTTGCGCTCACCCCGGATTTTCTTGAGTGTCACATGTGACTCTCTCGCACTGTGTCTTCACTCTATTCGGTGCTAAACAGCGCTTGTTGTGTGCACGTTTTACTATCATCATCATCCTTATTACACGGTAGTTGAAGGTGAGAAACACGCTTCAGCTACTGGGCCCCAATACAAAATAGATAAGATATATGAAAGAAGCGAGGTGCAGTACTACCTCTAGAATTCCACCTGTCTTGTTCCCGCGCTTTCGATATCGTAGGCAACATTTGTGCGCTCCCCTTCTTTGAGACCTGTTGCAACTCGTTGAGTACATCTTCGCGTCCACTCACTACCCCATAAATTGTGTGAAATCTCCGCACTTTGAATTCTGGTGTCCGGTTTAGCCTGGCAATTTGGTTCGGATTCTTCAGGACTGCTCTTTCTTCTTCTAACCGTGGTCGACCGATACGCTGCTTAAGCCGATTAAAGAACACCATTTTCTGAGTTTCGCTTTAACCTGGATCAACTCGTTTAGTTAGACAGAAGCATCGCATCGGGATTTTAAAAGCGATTCGTTAGCCCTCACTCCGATTTCACCTATGTATCGTACTACTCATGGAATCAGCAATGTAGCATACGTACTTAGTACCTATTTGGTGGTTTGTATGAGAGTGTTGACCTCCGTCTGTCTGTACGTCCATATTGTGGACGCGAATTTGCGGTATTAGGTCATGGCGCTGACGTTACTCAGGTGATCGATCAACAAAAAGATCTTTGTGATACATCTCACTCGTGTTCATCTGTATTTTGTCGAGATTAACTTGCGCTGCGGTTCAGTGATGTTAAACGCTGATCGATTTACTTAACCCAACGACTACAAGCACATCCTTCGTGGAATATTTCACGGTGCTCATGGCGAGACCTGGCGATCCACTTCTCTTGGCCTTTCGAGACTGCTACTATTAGTTATTAACCTTTTCTGGGCTGACCACCTGTCTTTATGGGACACTTGTGAAATAAAACTTGGTTGGGCAGCCACAATCCGGACACTACTAATATTGCCTTTAGGTGTTACATTCATACCCTGCTGCTTCGTCTGGATCCAAAGTTCTACTTTTGTGGCACACTGACAGGTCAAATAGGAGTGAACAGTATGGCTTCCTTGGTATGCGACCTCGTCGCTATGCAGGCGTTACCGATTAGCTTGACATGTGGCGCCCTGGGCTGACACCACCAGCCCCTGCGACAACTGAATAACCAACAGAAACGATCGATCGATTCACTTGTTTTGGTGCTTGCATCGCTACTAGTGGTTACCTCACCAAAGGAGTTGCTACGCTTCTCTGTACGACTCATGTGGCTTTTCAAAACATCTGGCGAGATGTGTGTCACTGGCATGATACACAACGCAATTTTGTGGCCTCTGTTAGCTAACATACAAAGTAGAGATATGATCACTGTTTTTGGAAGACACTAAGAAACTGTCAGTCATCAGCCTTTTGTCTCTACACTGCACCGATTACATCTGGTGGAAGTACTACTGGAGCCCGTCTGGCGTTGCACACAGGACTATGTGCAAAAGTTGAATCGCTAACTATTCCCAGGCAACACCTTTCGCGTGCTTAACGGCAACCTACTCCGCTGCATGTTGTGGGGTCACGAAGTGGCTCAGCAACACCGTAATGTAAAAAAATTTGAAGTGATTAATCCTTAAGCTGCATTTTTCCGGTATGTACGATCGTCCCAGAAGGAAGCCCTGAGGTTAACTGTTGTTAGTTTCAGTCTATCATGGCACGGCCGAAGAATGCGTTGGGTCCAATTATCGGTTTTTATGACCGACTACTCTCGCTTGTTAACTTGTTTTTTGCCTACCACGATTCGCGGCTTGATCGTGCACGATCTCCACGAGTTTTGTGTGAGATCGAGGGGCATAGCTGTTTCTCATTGACCTCTAGCTCAATCCAGGTAGAGTTTCTGGACGGAAATAACATCCAGGCCCATCAAACCTATCTTCGCCTAACTGGGGTTACAGAGTCATCACTTTGTCTGGTCAGTGGACGTACAGTAGTCACCCTAAACCTATCCAGACTGCGTGCGTTCATCCGCAAGCAAATCTAGGTGGGACTCTACATTCCCATCCTTGTAATGGGCTTACTATTTAAACGGTACTCCCCGGTAGTTGTCGCATTATGTTTTTCTGATGATTTTCGCTTTTCTTTCTCATTTAAGACGCAGCGATTTATTTCGATGGTGCGTCCGCTCTCAACATATCATCAGTTTGGCTCGTTTCATTATGCATTGCCTTATTATTCTATTCCCATTACCCCTGCTGTTCCACTATCTGTGGAAAGCTGATACGCTTTTCCGGATTCATCGGTGTTTCCAAGTTCCGTTTCTAGACAATCCTTGTGTTTACATTACACTGCATACCTCCACTCTATCTGCACTCATATCCCCAGTTCCCACTGGTTCCTCGGATTGGTTTGCTACCCCTGGATGGCCGGAATGGTCAGCTACACTGCGTTGTATCGCGCCGCGGCGTTCGATTTATGTCATCTGACAGAGGAATTTCTCGATGTGGACAATATACAGTTTATCAACGCACTTGATAGCAAAAATATCAGTCAGGAGCCACTTGAACGAAGACCAACCGATCCCAAGGTTAGTTAGTAGATTATCTTATTTTTCATCAACTTGAAACCGAAATGGACCCCTACTTTTTCTGCAGATCCAGTAATGATTTAATCCATTCCATTGGATACTATCTAAACCTTTTATTCTGAGCCTAATCTCCTTTATTGTTTTTTTTTCCTCATTTATGGTACTCCATAGCCATTACTGATCAAGGTTTCGTTATCTCAATGGAAACAAGCTCAGTGGCATGTAACAATTACGTCTCGGATTTTCTCATTCACTTTCATGCGTAACTACTCGGACTGGCACCGCATGCGCGCACTTTTGTGTTTGTTAACTTGATCTCCATTCGATCAGCTCATTTAATCGTTTCACCTAATCCTATCCGGGTCCATTCTGTCGTATGTTGTTGACACAGCCGACTTTATTTGATCAACCGAATTTGAGGTAGTCGATAAACAGTAGTCAATGCTGCTGAGCATCGCGTGAATATTCTCTGGTTATGATGAGTCGGAATACGAGATTCTGTGTGTTATTATGAGGAAGTAGTGGGAATTCTCCACACAGGTTACAATCAGAACTAGTCGGTATGCTCTCGCGCCAGCAGAACTGGAGGAGTCCACTTCGCAACGGTATTTCCAGCATCGATTGGGAATCACCCGAGTCTCCCAAGTACATTAGTGAACCGCCGATTGGGCCATAGTGTCCTTATTGACTCATGAATTGTATCCAGAACTTCACAGTAGCTCGCAACATCTATTTTCGGATTGGCCTAAAAATCAGTATTTTTATGCGTCGATGCTTTCTGGTTAACACTGAAGTCATCGTTTCGATTGGTGCTTAGCTATCTGCTACCAACTCTACCAGGTTGGCGGTCGCATGCACACGCAACAGTTAGAATCAGCCAGACACTCACCAATCGTCTTGAAAAACGTTAAAGGACTATTCCCTCCTTCTGTCAGTCGTGTTCACTCGGAACTCTGCTTGGACCCTTGCGACGAGAAACTGAAATTGAGCCACAAAGGATCAAACGGCCCTCCACAGTTGCATTTCCGGATGTCTGTTGGTTGGTTTGGTCCACTGGTGAATTCCATTTCTCGCAGAGCTTAGGCACGAGTTAGCAGTACCCGCGTACTAATGGTGCAAGGCTTTTTGGATGTCATTCATTCTTCTTATACACTTTCTTTTAAGCAGAACCAAGGCATAAAATTACCAAGGGAACCTTATGGTTCTTAGACCACTTTTAGCTAATTTAGCACGTACGATTTCGTCGATTACTTCTCCAACCGTTGCGTCAATTACAAGGACGTCGTCGAATCTCCCTAGTTTTCATCTTGAGTGAACCATTTTTTCACCACTTCCTAATTGAAACCAACCATGAACCCCAACTGTAAACTCGAGAAGTTCTTTTTATCCTCTTCCGAGTTTCTGAGACTAAAACCGTAGTCATTGCTTCCCTCAATTGTCCTGAAGATTTTGTTGCGACACGCTCCTCGGTTTCTCCAGAATGCATCTGTCTCAACATTTTACCATCTGGCAAACATACACTCTCAAGGTTACCGGTCTGAGCGTCGTCGTTCGCACATCCGCATACGGGGTTTAGAAACGTCATCACCACTGTCTCTCACTTTCCCCTAGGACCCATTCCTACAATCGCAAGCTCCAAAGTATGATTTCTTGTGCGCTAAATTTTCCGCCTCTGCACCGTGACCCGGTAGCCAAAGGGGTAGAGGTTTCCAATGGTCGAGAGATCGAGGCCTGCTGTCTCCACCTGATGAGATGAAATTACATCGAAACGCGTCGTGGTTGTGCAGTGTTTTCGGGTGTGCAACACCCAATTTCTATCGGCTTTGAGTACAGTCCCAGCGATCGCCGTGACTAAGGTTCACTTCAATGTGAATAACAGTCCATTACATTGAGATTGCGCGTCGCAATCCAATCACACAAAGTGTAGTCCAAACTTGAACCTCCAATTAGTCATTCACCGTTGTGCCAAGCGTTGCCCACCGTGACCCGGTAGCCAAAGGGGTAAAGGTTTCGGCTACTATTCCAATGGCCGAGGGATCGAGGCCTGTTGTCTCCATCTGATGAGATGAAATTACATCGAAACGCGTCTTGGTTGTGCAGTGTTTTCGGGTGGGCAACACCCAATTTCTATCGACATGTTAACGGACTTCTACTCCGATCAGTATGATCCACCTTTTGCCTTTTGTGAATGCAGCGCGACAGTCGAGCGGTAGCTAAGAGAAGGAGCGATTGATTTGCTCTCTATGATTATTACCGGGCATAGACCTGTGGTGGGAGTGTCCTATCATAGTGAATAGATGAATCAAAGCAACGCACCACACAACCAGTTGAAGACCAACACGACGATTTCGATCATTCGATGCTGATCATCCGGCGTTTGTGTGCGCTACGAATAGTTTCTCTTCATTTGTTACTCAGTAAGAGAAGGGACCTTATAGACTCACAAGGGTCGTTTATGTAAGTGCATGGGTAATATATGTCGAGATGACTTGGGTGTCAAAGGAGTTTTAATTTTCGCTGAGTCGACTTTGTCGATCATACGCTTGCTCCTGAAGGACCGAATTCTGTGCCAGCACTGATCTGCCTCATATGCAACGACTTCATTTGGATAGCTAAACACGTATTCACCGAGAGAACTGCACAACGACGGTGTCGGTCTGTGAGCAGGGACCGTATAACTGATTTGATCATTTCTAGCTATCTTCGTGTCCGAAATGATCAATTGCATCCACTGCACAGTGACCTCACGAAAACGCTCTTTCTCTCCCACTCGTCTGAGATTTTGACCTTTTCGCACTTCGAATCGTAATGCTATCTTTCCTTATCTGCCACGTTTGCTTGTTGATCCAACGGGCCTTTGTTAGAATGCAGGTTTTGTACAAGCCTCATTTTTCTCCTCCCCTTGTGTATTTTTTATTGATCTTATCTTCCAGTACGTATGCAATGGTAGTGTAGATGCTGAAGATGAATCCGTTTTGGTTCATAAAGTTTATTCTGACGTGACTTGAACTGTGTCAAATTCAGTCCCGAATTCGTTGCTCCGCCGCTACGCGGCTTCAGTTATCACGGTCCAGACCTATCAGGTGTCTTCGGATTGTCAGTCATACCTTCACACGCAATCGTGTAGAATCCGTATGACCTCACTCTTAACGTGCCGAATCTTAATCGCCTACATGGGTTGACCATATCCTCTGTATGCCCGTTAAGCGGCTTCCTCGGCGTGCATTATATACCGCAGCTGCATCAGGTTGAGCGAAACCGCAAGGTGACCAATCCATGACGTGGCATGGAGGCATAAGGAAACTGGCTCAGAGACTTGGTCAGACTGGTGCGCGCTGACTTCCTGGATGGGGGCCTTGGGATGGTCCACACCAGTGGTTGGAAACCGTATCAGACATAGCATAGTCCCGCGGTCAGTGGCGTTCCTGCATCTGATTGTTACTTTTCGTTCCATTCTGATTACTTCAGTGCAATTCCTTCTTGCTTCCGTTACTACATTCTATTTGCACCCAACCCCACTATATTGCCGTTGTTATTTATTGTTACTCTTGCCATGTGAGTCCTAGTCACTGGATCCACCGCGCTTCGGTTCTCGGGTCATAATTATTTACCTGAATTGGACTGATGCGTGGCATTCTCTTTCGCATGTGCAACAACTTTCGAAACTCCTTTAAACCTGATAGTTAGGTTCGCTCACAATCCAGTGTCTCATCGGGATCTATGCTGACCGACCGATTTATACCTTTTGGTTAGCACAGTCCTTGCGTCACGAAGACAAGTGTATGTCGATCGCAAGGGATTTTGGGCATGAATTTCATGGGATTGCCCCCCTTGGCCTTAGTGTTTTGGACCATCGAAATATAGGGTCAAGTTACGGTACATTTCGCTTTTACTTTTCCGAGACTGGAGACCAAGGATCCATTACCGTTAACCAGCTCTTGAGTTGGTTGTTTGGTTTTCGGTCTGCTCCTTACGTGAATGGATTTCGATGCACAACACTTGATTTGAAGCTTTATTAGCATTCAGTCAATGGTAAAAAAAAGATTATGCGCGTGCGTTGTAAGCTGGTGGTCACCAGTTCGAAATCGCATTGGGGGTGGCCGCCTCGCGGTATGCCCAGCCCACGCGCGACTGCTGATGGTGGCCGCTTGGCAGCGAAGTGTCGGTACTGTATGCCGGCAAACTCCTGATGCTTTCTTTTCTGCTTCTTGATTTGATCCCCAATCATCCTCTTCAGAATGAGCTTAACTGAGTTTAACCGGGTCTTACTGAATCGCAACATCGCGCTCCACCATCGTTTTCGTCCTTACTTGGACCCTCCAGATTGCGATGACCGAAAGTAAGGCTGGAACCCGGCACATCTAAATCACTGCACCACCGAGCTGCACGAGCAACACTTATCTTAACGAGTAGGGCATCTTTGTTAAGCATCTAGCGTGCGCATTACGTGTCAAATCCCTCTTGTGTTGTTTCCTCCATTCACAGGGAGCAGCCTTCGATCGATGGCGGCGCCGTCGGCTGGCTTGGCTTCGCAATTGTGGCATCAATGCAATGTAAGTACTCTAGCTGCCTTACTGCTTGACATCTTTCCGAGATGCTTACGTTATGCTCATGTGATCACGCTGTAGTTCAAACATTCAGGTTTTGTATTTCGCACCTTTTCCTACGGTGATTTTCTACTTTGACTTCATGCCATTCATCCAGCTTACTTCTCTTCGTAATACGTCATTTATCGTCTGAATGTTGGCAACACATCACATGTCCACATCACTACCACCGATTTACCGTCTGTTTCCAAAGCATCTTTGATGTAGCCTTTCCTGTCTCTCTGCCTTCTGTCACCCGATTGAATGTAAGGAGATCCCATGATTCGCGGCTAGCCCGTCCGGTAGATCCGCATGCGGTTGCCTGCAATCACTAGCGAGTACTTTATTAACCGTGAAGCGGTGGTAAGCATTGTTGACCACTCGAGAGCTGTGTTCTGGCATGAGGACGGTGGACCCCTTTTTAGTCGAAGCTCGCACGCGGACCCCCTAAGATATTGGTAACCACAAGACTAGGCTTCAGTAAACCGAGAATGAGGTAGAGTATTCTGCAAACGTTCACTACTGTACACTGAACTAACGTGGGTGTTTAGTTAAATTAGTAAAAAATGAAAAATATTAAAGTAGATAGAAGAAACAGCTTTCAACAATCCTTAATTTGACAGAGGAAACTGTTTCTGTAACGCAGTTTTATTGCGGCACAACTGCAACCTCACCTCTGGTTGAGCTTCAATTCCATTGCACTACTTTGTTTTTGTACAAGTGTAATGCGAAAACACACTTCACACAGATTAATTGTGGCAAATGGGATAAACACTGTCACACCTGTCTTCGTTATGTCAAGTTACTCGTCTGTTGTTCTAAGCCAGAAACTCTTCCTGAACGGAAGAATGTAATATCAACTATTACTACATCAGAATTCGACAATGAATATTTCTGTGACATATCTCCTCAGCTCTGATGGTCTGTCTTTAGGTTACAGGTACAAATGCTCAACTGAGAATAGTTAATTAACCACAAGAATTGTGGAACAGACCTCAAATTTGACTACTTTGGTAGGTGGAACTTTGCATGAAATATAAACTAAAGTAAACAGAATGGTCATCTTTTGTAATATCGCAGATATTGTTTCTCTTCAACTTCCGAAGGCAAATGAGCATACTCGTCAAACACCGAAATCTCCACGCTGCCCCCCACTAAACTCCCCCTGACGGGATCGCCCCAATGAGCCGATTTCGGAGGATAGAAACTTTCGAAGTGACTGCAAAAAGGGACCATATCTCATGGTTTACTTTTCGCCTACCTCCGGGCGACAACTTCTGAGTTATGTGAGCTTGTGTGGACGGAGAATGATCCACCTAGCCTCTGCCCATTGCATCGCAGAAGCTTATCCCACTACCTATGCCAAACCTAGTTTCCTTTTTGGAAGTAGTTTGCCCCACATTGGCCAATCACAAGACTAAGGCAAACCGTCAAATGCCATCGAATTATACAATAAAATGGTCACGCCGAAACTTTTTGACGGAATTATAACGTTTCGGGCAATCATGCGGACCCCTCGGAAAACACTGAGTTACTGCATACATGATCCGTTTCCCAGGCCGTTTTCGTAGCGTGAATCACCGTCCAACAGCGCCATGACAACACGAACTGTTTGTTGCGCTTTCGTCTTCACGCTGACTCATTTTCCCTCTTTGTCATGCACGCAAACCACTTCATTGATCCACAAGGCGTTCCACTTTCCCGCTACCCACATACGGACACTCATACCTTGGCGATACCACTCCCTGCTCGACATATGACATTCTCCGCATAGCCTTTCCGAACTTACTCGTCTTCATGGCTTGTTTACTCCGTCTCCTGACCTCTATTCCGGCGTTCCACCCAACTGACCTCAACACCCCCTTCGGCGATTGTCTTTTGAATTTCTTATCCACCTGTGGAAGCCGAAAGATGCCATCTGCCTATTGATCGACGACCGATTGTACCAGCTTGTGATGTGAAGCATGGTTGATTCTCGTTCTAGTAAAGCCAGCCGCTTAACTTTTGTCAGTAGCCAGTGTATCACCCCCCAGTGAACGATCTACAGACCTCGAGGTGCGTATGCTATTCAGGCCGCACGCCTGCCGTAGTGTCTGATACATGGATTGACCTCGTTGGGGATAGCCACAAGCTGTCTAGCTAATTACGTCAGGTCAAGTCAGCGTTTTGTACACCCCCATATGTGGGAGCATTTTCAGTGTTTTACACTGCAGCTATCTACAACATGACATCCGATACAAAGGGACGAGAGAAACAAAAAGTAAATTTTCAATCACGCAAAACTGTCTCGCATTTGATGCATCCTTACTTTTGGGTTAACCAACAAGCGTAACTGATATGCCATGATGGAGTTGCGATACGACGCGAGGTACGAAAAAATAAAATTGGATACACTTGCTGACATGGCAAGGAGCCGATCTCAATGGCGTCCCTGCTGTGAGTTTCTTGTCCCTCCCCATCCCTTTTAGCCTCCCCATCCATCTACGATCCCATTTCGTAGGGTATAACGTAAGAACTTTTTTTCTTTTTGCCTAATAGCTGGCTTCTAGCTTACCGGAACGATGCTTATCCGTTGCTGGTAGCTCAGCTGGCATGCAACTGTTGTATCTATTTTTCCTTTGTGTACTGTATCATATGTATGTATGCATGTATTTCCTTCATGTATTGCGGCACAATAGAGGAGGTGTTTTCCCACCTCCGCTGACGTGTATACTGATGATGATGATGACCTTTCGACCGCGTGGCGAACATGGATGCCGTACTTGTTAAAACAGTGTGTAGGGAGTGAGATGGGTCATTTAGCATCTTAGGTGAAAAGTTAAAGCATGTGTCAAACTGTTTGCTAACGATACAATCAACCAACAATTCTTTGCTTAATTCAAATCGTCGGGAAATAACTTTCAGTGAAGGCACAAGAAAAACAGTCATTGGGAACAAGTCCGGGGAAGGTAACTGGGGGGAATGCATACATATACAAATCTTGGAATTAGGGCAAGGGGTACAAAGGGCGCTTTGAGTCTGAGGAAGTGAAAGGATAGCCTACTGACTTTTCGAAACGTTTCAAGAATATGTGTCAACCAGGATAGATTGTAATACAAGAAAACATCGGGACACCTTACGAGGAATGCTTGGATCACTCACGATAAACGAAGGAGACATATTTAAACGAGAACAGTCTGTCGGGACGGAGAAAAGAGTCTGTGTCATCACAGCACTTGAAAGAATTAAGAGAAAGAGAGAGCGGGAGCTTGACCAAGTCAAGAACTCGTCTAGTCTTCGTCAAAGTTTCGTATATTCCTCAATTACTGTGGTTATATACCTTAGGACGACATCATCGGTATGTTTACACCCAATGTAACTTGATGATTTTGGCACATATTAAGCATAGAGGGAAAGCAGATGAAATAGCTCTTGGCAAAACCCTACAATTGGTTGGGATTGCAGAAGACCAACTACCACATAACTGCGTGAAATGTGTATGATCTGTATTGTACTCACGCATTACATCCATATGGGGAAATGCCACTTTCGAGCAAACGACTTAGTAGCAACGATCCGTCAATGCTTCCAACGGCATTTATATAATCGAGGAACAGGAGCAATAGAATGCACAATATAGGAAACGGTGTTCATAGAAAGCCTGACCGGTGCGCCAAGTTGCGTTGATGGTTCTATTTTTCTTACCTGGATGTCACCGACTTGGGCACATCGGCTGTTTACAATGCCGCCTCAAGTGAAGCGGTCGGTGGACAATTGGCCACTTTGTTTTTACTCTTTCCCTGCCACCAGTTATTTTTCTTCATCCAATCAATGTGCCACATCTCAACGCTCTCTGGTTGCATTTCAAATTATCTGTTTTACTCTGCCGCTCATATTTTTCTTCTCATGGTGACACTAGTTCTGGTAATTCGATTGTAACCGACAGATTAACTTGTTTAACCTATCTGGAGATTTCCCCTATTGATTGACCCCCAAAACGACCCCTTGATTGCTTATTTGACTTGGCATGATAAAACCTCATTTACTTTGTTTCTCGTTCACATGTGGACCTTGATTAACCACAAGAGTTTACCCGTTTGTAACTAGCACCTTAGCTCTTCTGGCTTTGACTTTTGGATTGACCCGGCTACGTTAGTAGTTGCTCAGGTTCCAAGACCGATTTGTCGGTAACAGTGCTCAAACATCCCGGTATTATTTGTGCTACGTCTGAGCAAGAAGAAATCTGTCAGGAAAGAATCCTGTGAGTATTGGCGATACTTGGCAAGTCGAACCTTTTTCTGTTGCCACGGATGACGCAGTTTCCCGCTCTAGTTTGCCTATTAGTCATATGTCTAGTGGTAGTAGCAGACCTAGTATTTTTTCTAATGCCTCAAGTGTTGCCTTGAAACTAGCCAAATGGAAAGAGAAACAGTTGATGGCTGAATCTCAGGCCGAACGTTAGAAGCGTTTCTTATTGGAGGAGTCCAAGTCCGGTAACGGTTCACCCGAGCAGTTTGATGGTACAAGAGAGTGGTGTGAAAGATCTACCTCGATTGTTGAAGCATGCCAGATCATCCCACGCAAACACGAACACTTATCTTCGGCTGTTGTACAGCCCATTGCTGATCGTTGTCAACTGGACCTTCCAAAGATCGAACTCGAATATGTTGATGGTAATCCTGTTACTTATTGGAAGTTTATGAAACAGTTCGAATATTTTGTTGCGAAACGTGCGCGAGACAGTGCTTAGCTTTCTTTGTATTTGATGTACTATTGTCGTAATCAGGCAAAAGAAGCCATCATTGGGTGTATCATGTTGCCACCAGACCAGACTTATGTCAGGGCCAAAACGATCCTTCACGATTTATTTGATCAGAGTCACCTGGTTGCTGAAAGAGCTAAAACCACTCGCTCATAATGATGAAGCCATTTCTCCTCTCCCTGAAAATGGAAAATTGCCACAAAACATTGAGCCAAATCTGATTCCT